CTCTCTCTTTCTTCTCTTTTGTTCTTTTCTTTCCTCCTTTTCGATTTTAGTTGGTCCAGTCCTGCAAAATTTTAAGCTGTAAGTTGCTCTCTTCTTTGGTCTTTCGTAATCTGTTAAAGTCCACAAAAAAATCTATCAACTGTACCCTTTAAGCGTAGAAATAAAATGTCAAATTTTCAGCGTTAAACGTATGTCCGAGAACTTGGACTGATCAACATTTATTTGCTTTGTTACTTAAAACAGGGAGGAATTTTTACTGATGACTGAATGTATCAACGCCTTATTTTGGTCACATGACTTAACACGTGATCGAAAATTCACAAGAAAGGTAATTGGCGAACTGATAGCCATTTAAATGGACGGATAAATCAGCGTTTCTTAGAGAGAATTTTCATATCTTTCTTCAGTGAGAATACAAGTATGTGCAATTCCTCAATTGGTTTCGGTTCCATTAAATCTTATACTAGTTGAGGAACTTTTGTTTTTTGGCCAACACACTTATTATTACTTCTGAAGATGTATGTTGGAACGATACGAAACGTCTAGTTAAAGTCTTTTTTTCTTTCCAGAAGTGCGTTTATGCATTATTACCGCAGTACTTGCTTTTTATTTCTTCTTTATTTGAGGAACATTTAAGAAGGAGCCACCCACAATTCGAGCACAGCTTTGCCTAGTCCCCAGGCCTCGTTATTCGGTGTCACATGAGCTGTGCGTTTCTGGTCACGTGCTCCGATGGTTTACATTACCGACAGGCTGCTCCCTTTTCAACCTCGTTCGGAGGCGGGTCTCTCTCTTGCCGAGAAGCAGCCGTTGAGCCCCTTAACTCTAGACTTCCTGACAATGTTCTGTATTATACTTTATATCCATACTCTTTGCCAAAGTTATAGCCAAGAAACGAGACAACAAAACAAAAAAAATAAATTGGTTTTTTTTATGTAAAGCTCTTGCCACATTCCTTTAACCACCCGCCTTTAATTTCTTTACTTGAAAACCGTTCAGTTTGTCGTCAAAATTGTTTTTATATCTTTTCAGGAGCCTAGCTTATTCAGCCACAGGCACTTTCCAATTCTAATTTCTCTCTGTCTCCAGTGGCAAAATATTCCATAAAGAGAGATCAATGGTCCCATTATCCTATATTGATCTTCTAGCATTTCAGCTCCGTCAACTTGGCAAAATACACCGCCCTTTGTTTTCACTGTTCGAGATGTCGGCTTTGATGGGGTCTTTAAATTTGATGACCTTTGATCTATCTGGTGTGATTTGAAAGGCAGCAAAACATGGCAAAGGTGATCAAAGATGCTTGCTACAGTTTTAAAAATCGTGTTCGTCGAAGGTGTATTTCTAATGCACATAAAAATTTCCCTGCACAAGCTGCAAGTTGAAACTCCCGGTTAAAACTATAATCAAGTTTTAACCATTAATTTGCTGTATCTCAACCACAAACAGGCCTTAACCATATCAAGGCCTGTTTACTGCTAGAGTGACAGCCTTTCTGGAAAAGGACCCTGAGCTAGAACGAGAATGTTTGCAATGTAAAAAACTTTAATAGCAATAATAAAAAAAATTTACCAAAAAACTTTACGAGTGAAATTTAATTAAGAAAATATATAATACATTTACATAATATATACTGATGGAAAAATGAGCAAAAAAGAAAACGACTTTTTAATTTTAGCGAGAAATGTTTTCCCGACAAAGATGTAGCACAGTGTGTCAGGTGTGGCCGAGAAAAGTCTTCACGAACCGGGGACTGATTAAAAGTAAAAAACTGTGTATCCGTTTATTTCAGTCTAACGTCATCTTAAATAATAATTTCAGAAACCCGGCAACATCTCCCTGTAGTCGTGTGTAATGTTCTTTGTGAGTCAAAATTTGTGTTTGGTTATGCACTCAAGGGTGACACTTTCCAAGTACAAAAAAAAAATGCTTGCACGAGGACCAAGTTAGCTATCATTGCTGGTCACGAGTCGCACACTTGGTCGTCCAAAAACAGGTTTTGGTAACAGGTCTTATTGAAAAGGACAGTACACAATGAACATTGTTACGTAATCAGTAGGATAAAGACTGGGAAAAACGGAAGACTCGCTGTCGCTCAAAACCCCAAAACTTATTCTTGATTTTCCGTTTAAAGAAATAAAGGAGTTTAAAAGCATAGTTCACAAATGACGAGAGCATCTCTTTTCAATTGTTTTGAAACTCTATAGAAGTCGCTAATGACAACCTGGTCCACTTAACAACACAATGTGCAATTATGAATTCAAGTCGCACTTCACAGAAAAAGGCGACAAGCTTTCAAAAGGATTAGCACATCAATATTCATAAACCGTTTGGCCAGGCCAGAAAAGCCTTTCTTTGCACGCAATGTAAAAATCTTCATATCAACTCCATCTCTTTATGCTGGAACGGGTGAAACGAGTCTAGTTTAATAACTATCCGAGGTTTCTGGCAGATTTTGTGATTTTAGGGATTTAGTTTTCCTTCAAAAAAGCCGAGTACTTTCAACCACCTGGTCTGTAGACTGTCTGCCTATGTTTGACCAGATTACTTGCGCTGACTGGGCGTGTGAATTCGTTCGTGTCGAATAGCGCAGATGTTAGCCATTTCTGAAGGCAACAAACAAATAAAAAGAAATTTCCTTTTCCAATTTGCCGCACACTAAAAATTCGTCTTGCTATTAAATTTCGGTACAATTTTCTGGAACAAATATAACAAGAACCTACAAGATGTTGAATTTTGGCTGTCGCCTCACACGAGAGTTCAAATTATTCCTGGACACGAAATCGAAATCTATATTTATTCCAGTAGGCACTATTAGTATTAAGGAAAAAAATATCCATCAACATCAATAAATTTTGTCATGGTGGATTTTTAAAAGTAAGAGTGATATCTTCAAACGTTCCATGTGAGAAGTTTTCTTACATCGCCGTACGTTTCTAATATTTCTTTTTCATCACATTTTTGTCCTTTAAACTTACAGAGTTTGTTACCTTTTCCCCTTTTGTTCGGGGAGCTTGAAAGTTTTTTTTTTTAAGGAAAGGGCCAGGGAAAGTGTGCAAATGTCAATTGTAAACATAAATACCTGGTTTTCTTTGAAGAACGACCTTTTTAAACCTCAATTACGAGGCTTTGTGTATGCTTCTTGAATAAACAGATATAGTTCTCAAAATCTGGTGTTTTCCTTTTTTTTGTCGAAGGTCTTATGCACCCCGGATGACATTCTTTCCTCCGTGCTTTTTCGATCGCAGGTTTTTTTTTTTTCTTTTTTCTCGGTGAAAAATTTTGAACATTGGTCAATTGCAAAGTTTTTAGTTTTTCGCTAACTGTTGTGATATTTGCTAAATTCAAGAAGAGTTCTTCTCTTCTTCTTTTTTCTCACTTCCCACGCGGTTCCTTTTCTGAAAATCTGAAGTCTCTGTCGCTATTACTGGTAGCCATGGGTCAGTTTTGAAGAGGAAAGCGTGAGCTTTCGCGTTGCGTGAACTTTTTCGTGATTTAATGACGTCGCGTGACAAGTGCTTACAAACCGTGCGAAATACATTATAGGCGTATTTTTGTCACGAAAACGGCTGGAAAAATGACTTGTTTTTCAAGCTTCAGTTTTAAAGACGTTCTTTTCTAGGGTATGATGGTTTTTACAGTCAACATGGTCCTGGTCTGGAAAACAGATTGCAGTTTTTTTACATTTTGATATTTGCGTGACGTAAATGCAAGGGGGCGTGACTCGTGAATACTGATCCGACCTTCGCTCGTAGCATGCAGCTAGCAGCAAGCGAGGCCTTGAGTGTATGTGTTTTGGGTTTTGTTTAACTATAACCGCTGTTGACTTTTTTGAAATTTCAGATGAAGTGTGGTTCTATTTATGCAAATACTGAATACTGAGTCGAAATAGTCGTATTCCAGTAAGGCATGTTCAATATTTATTATCAAACTAATGATGCATTTAAAGCTTTTGTAACACAACACGGAGCTCGGAACTTCTTGCATCGCCTGAACACAAATCGATGAAAAAGAGAGAAAAATAAGAAAATGAGGTGTTTCTTGTCATAGTCTTGTCTGTTATTGACCCAGTACATACAGTTTAAGACAATCACGCAGAAGAAGGTATTACATTTCTCTGTTGTGGTGACGTTTTTCCTAAGACAAAACGAAATCAAACAAAGACAGCCAAGTTATTTCAATAAGCGACTAGTACAATATATGTGTCTCGGCGTCTCGTGAGATCTTTAAAGAAACCATCCGGTGTGAATATAATTAGCATGGCAACTCACGTTTGAAAAACCCGATTTTGCTTCAAAAAGACTAAATTTCATCTCCTGTCACCTTTTGTCTGGAAAAACAACCAAGTTTGACGAAGACCAGAAGTTGACCTTCGCGGATGAGTGACCTTGTGAGCCTTCTGCTTTCAGCGTGACTAAAAAACATGGACACTGATAAAACCAAAACACAATGGTAAGCCACTCGCATGTGACGAGACTTTTCCTTTGCGTTTCTTTCACATGCAAATTTTGAGGATTGTATAATTCCGGGCAGCAAATTGTAAATATTGCATAAATTATCTGGGTCGACTTAAAACAAACCAATTATCGTGTCTGTTTCACGTGCGCAGCCAATCGCATCGTTTCTTTTATAACCCTAGTCAGTTGCTGGCCTTGATCAATACCAGCTCGGTACAATGTGCATGTCAATCATTTTGGTGTATGGTCGTAGAATCGGTCCCGCTCAGATATGACTAAAGTTTCACTGGCCTTTGGGCATTCGAAAGTCTACTTAATCTAGACTTTAAAAACCGCCATAATTACGCTACGGCAACCTATATCCGTGTGTGGACGAGTCGTGACTTGAGCGAACGAATTCGCACTGGTTTTGTTACGTGAAATTCATTTGTATGCTTTATGGCTGGCCGCGTAGTGTCTCGCGAATTCACCATCGACTATTTGGATTCAACGTTTTGCTGAACGCGTTATAGCAATACTTTAGTCACCCTGGCGGACTCCGAGTTGATGGATGTGAACGCAAACAGTAAACTTAAACGCAAGAAGAAAACCCATGGGTTAGTATCGTGAGAAATTTGTTGGTTGGTGTTTCGTGTCGGTGTGAGAATCGTGAGGTAGAAAGGTTCCGATTGTCCGACTTGAGCCTGGACATGGTGTGATGTTTGTGTGGAGTGTTCTCACCTAAACTTTTACCGTGGTTTCGTGAATTGTGCTTCTAAAATATAACACAGGGAAAGTACTAAGCCGAAATGAGATATTTATTGCCTAAATCTTGTTTTTCTAACTGCTTTTTTAGGCCTGGGAACCCATCGAAACGACATCGCGATCGACTTAACGCCGAGCTGGATAATCTCGCAAGGCTGCTGCCTTTCCCAGAAGAAATCGTCACGAAACTGGATAAGATTTCCATTCTTAGACTTACAGTGAGCTATTTGAGAGCAAAGAGTTTCTTTCAAGGTAATAAGAATTTTGCATTTATTCTTTTCTAGTTTTGCTGGCTGGTTTGCCTATATCGTGAAAATTTTTACTTCATCGTAGACAATTGCGGTGTTGGTTGCTACCATCAATTAAGCTTATTTTTTGTAAGTTCGCCTGTGGATTTGAATTTCACAATTTGTTCAACCCGCAGTCAACCTGGAGAGCTTTTGAAGATTGATGCATTTTATGATATTAAATTGATTGATTTTTGCTTATCTTAGTTGTCAGTCATGTCTGTAGGGAAATTGAAAAATTCATTTTCATGGCGGACATTTGAAGTGTTTGTGCTGTTTATGGTATCCTCTCAACTTTATGTTTACTAAGCTCAAGCCACGAAAAATTGCGTTGCTGCAACTTAACGTAAATAAAATAAGATGAAAGGGGATATCCTTAAACGTTTTGATTATTCTTAAGACCGGGGGCAAAAAGGTCATATGTGATGGCCCTACATGTATTATAATGAACGTTTTCCCGTTTCGTTGTCGCGAGGTTTTTGGTAGTGAACTGGGAGCAGACATTTTCAAATTTGCTTTCCACGGCTTAGGCGTATACAGTGGTATCAACCAAGACTAGTGTTGTTTGGATATTTGTCTGCTGGAAAGCGAGCTGCTTGCATAAAGTGATTCTATCGCTTTCCGGTTTCTGACTAAAGTGTAGTGACTACATGTTTGCGCCGGCGAAATATTATCACTGGTTCACTCGCGATACGTGACTTTATGAACGAAGCTTTGGGCTCCGGAATGTCTTACCCTCAAGAATTTGAAATGAAAGCATGACAGGCATTATCACCCAGATTTTTATGGAGTTTAAAATGGAATCCAACAAATTCAAGAGTATCGGATCGACAAACTGAACATTGTTGTTCTTTTTTTTTCTTTTTCAACGTCTGGCAAAGCGGTTTCAGGGTTGGTGTGTTCGCGCTTGGATTTTTTTTATTTTCGATGGTCTTTAATAATACTCTGACCCTACTGATTACGGTTTAACGTTATAAAAGTTAAATAACAAGAACGACTAAAGGCTATTGTTTTTAAAGTTTGTTTTGTGGCGCGACGCTTCTACCGTCCGCATTGAATAAAACCGCCCAGTAGTTCAATGTTGGTTTCTTGCGATCGGAAATTGCCAAAATAACTTTTTACTACGCTGATAAAAAATAATCGGTACAGGGCCTTTTCTTTATAATTAACAGAATTATCCTTAGTTTATTCCTCGTCAAGACCGAGCTTTAAAGAACCAAATTGGTTTTGTGTTGTGATCTAGAGTTTTTGAATACTGCTCTGGCGATTCACACCTCTTGCATTATAAAATACATTTGATGTAAACCACCAGTCACGCAGAGTACGACGAAAGCGAAATGTTTATTAACCTTTGCTCACGCAACTATATTTCGTGAATGAGGAAAAAATCTGATTACTCCATGCAGCGTTCAGTTTTCTCCTTTCACTGTGTGAAGCAAAATCGGAGGGTGTTCATTGCGTGTCTGGGCTTTAGAGGAATTCATGAATCGTTTATATAAGGTTATTTTTCTTGCAAAGTTACTTGGTTTGTGTTTTTGGTGAGCCATTTTGCGGAGTTACGTTACCCTTGACCTATGCGATTTGAAAGAAAAAAATTGTTTACCCTTCGGGTATTCAAATAATCAATTTGAGCGTCCACTTACATTCAAGTCTAGCCATACGTGTAAGTTTTGCTTTTATGCGGTTGTAGAGCTGCGTGGCGGCTATACTTACTACGCCTTTTATTGGCTACAACTCCCCCATATTTCGTAGGTTAAAAAATAGGCCTGTTTTGATCTTTTATGGAGCAACTTGTAACGTAAATTGGTTCACTTTGCTGACTGCTTGAAGCAACAACGGCGTCGATATAACTTCGCGAGATTGCTTATGTTAACGCCCCGATCAGATTGAATAAATTCGAGCTCATTTGGTTTCGCTCGTCTTGCTCCACAAAAGCTCGTTATTGTTTGTCCAAAAGGCCTCCCGTGGTGCGGGATTTTTCTACGCGAAACAAAATTTTCTGTCCACCCAGCTGCTAGACGCTTAAAGCAAGGTTTAGCTCTATAAATATGGTACTTAAGTAAACAATATTGCTTCGTCTCTTCTTGGATCACTTTTTTGCATATGAATGGCCTTTCTGTCGATTCGAGGAGTCGATCAATATTAATATAAGCTTAAATGCTGCACAACTCGTTCACTATGGAAATTTTCGTTAGAGTCCACTCATTGATTTTCTGTAGCTGAAAGACCTGTGTTGTCTATCAGACACTATCTTATTCTTGCGTAAAATTTACAGTTCATGTATGTTAATTGTGAGAGTCGTGGTATCTTTAAAGAAAACCATTTGAGACCGTATAGCTAACAGAACGTTGACAAATTCTTGTTTGCTATTTTTTTTATCAGTGGATAACAAAAGTAGCTATAGTTTACAGGAAAATTAATAAGAGGAGAAACTGAATGTGTTGACATTCAAGTTCACCGTGTCCCTTCGAATTTTTGCGTCTCGTTTTGTCCAGTGAGGTAGTACTGTACGTTTTCTTCGCGTACAATGGCAATTACATGCAAAGCTTTCTGATTATGCAATGTTTAAAATTTTTCTGGTGTGGTGTCGACCTTTAAACGTCACCTCATATATATATATATATACCTATTGGTAAAAATACATGTATGTGTTCTCTTGGAGACTGGCTAGGGTCACATGTAATAAAGTTGCAATGTAATTTTCAATTTGTTTATGACCGTGCTTTTGTGCTTCTGTATCGTTTCCCAAGTTTAACCACAAACAATTCCTCATTTGCAATTTTAATCATTCTGTTAAGCCCTGGAGTGATCTAATCGATCTACAGGATCGCCTCTTTTTTGTGAAGTGTTAATTAAATTTTGATTTGGATCTTACAAGATCTTTTGATTCTGACCTAAACTTTCTCTCTGCTTACATGCTAATAAATTCTTTTAGTTTCAAATGGAAGACATGGAACAGAGGAAACCTGTGAAGAACTTGTCAGAGAAGTTGAGGGGAATGGCGTCTTCTCACAGCTTTCTTTGGAGGTAAGAGAAAATGGCTCAAATATGTGCTGAGATCAAGGGTAACAGACTATGAATAAGGGGTTGCAAGGGCAGCCTTTTCATACAAGTTGGGAAAATGTAAGCTTCTGTTTTTAAGTAACACGTTAAGATCAAAGCTTGCCCATCCCATTTTTTAGTTATCATCAATAGGACCCTTGTGTAACATTTCACTTTTTCAAAAACTATTTCCTGTGATGGCAGTACCCTGTTAATTTGTGTTGGTTGATGCCCTACTACCACAACTGGGGTCATTTATTTCAGAGTTTATGCAGATCAGATGCTAATGGGCTATATTTGTACGACTATGTTCTTTTTTTGATAACTCATCAAGGACAGTGTATACAGCCTTGATAGACTCTCTCAGTTAGTGTTGGTTGCCGGGGATTAGAGGATCTTTTACTTCTTGTGATATAGAATTACCATGATAAAAATTCCTGTGAGGAAAATCTGATTTGTTCAAGTTTACTTCCTAAATAATTTCTAACCCACGTATGGAGCTGACCTTGGCTAATTTTCCGTCTACCAATCTTGACTTAATTGCTTTTTTGTAAGAGCTAAAGTCTCATAAGAAGCTTTTGCACCATAGTCTTAATATCTGGATTCTTATAATTCCATCAGGTTCTCAGTGGATAATGACTACTTAGGTTCTAAAGACATTTCCTATTACTAAATACTGTAAAAGAATCAGCTGAAAGATCCTAACCCTCTTAATGAGATTTGTTAATGTTCACAAGTAGCATGTACATAACCTTGCTTCTCTTCAAAATATTTTAGTTATCATTATTTTTATTTAAGTGAATTTTTTAAAGATATATTTTCACATGATTTTGATTTAAGTGATTTAAGTGCTGTTGCAGAACATGTTGTAAGTGTCTGTAGACAGCCTGAGGGAAGTCAACATTTGCAAACACTTTTACTATCATGTAATTGATTGGCGTTGATCATGATCAACTTCGAGTGCTAAAATACAAAAATTACATTTCTGGTAGTATTTACGTTATTTTTTGATGGGGACAGTTATTCAAAAGTTTCCTTCTTTCCCATTAACTTCTGTGACAGATATCCTTTTGTTTTGTCTGTGGTATAATGATTGTGTAATGATCAGTTGAATTATGGTATAAAAATTTTCTCTTCATCCACTGCCACACCTTGGCAATTCGATCTACTCCTCGTTCATTGTAGACTTTTGGGGGGAGGGGGGCTTTGACTTCCCTCACTCTGCCAAAGTAAAAGCACCACTTATGTTCATTTAAATATCATTAATTTTTGAACAATTGAATTTTCACACACACACGCACACGAAAGAACCCAATAAAATAGCAATTTTTTGCATCTCTACAAAGCCTCTTAGTTTAAGGAACATACAGTGTATGTCTGTACCTACAGAGTATTAAACTACTTTCCATTTGTCCAGTATAGACTTTTTTTATCATTGTGTTTATTGGGCAAAACACTGTCTTTTCCCTCAAAAATTATGAGAAAGCCTTATCTGGTGCTAGAAGTTAACCATAGGTTTAAGCTTATTTGTTAGATGCTGTATGCCTTTGGTTAAAAAGTAGTAAATTTTTCAATTTCAATTCAGTTTCAATAAACTGACTGACAATTGCATATAGAGAGAGCAATAGTTTAAATTACTCTTCGTGAAGTAGCACTTTTTTTTCCTCTTACAAGTCACTTTGGTCTTTCTTAAATTACATTTTTCCAACCAGTGCACTAAGCAAACATGATGTGTGGTGTACAGTATACTTCCACTTGCAATTACCATTAAAAGTTTAAAGGTGTCTCTATCACATGTGTAATTTCTTCCCTCATGTGTTTTAACATGCCATGCAACCTGCTACAATTGCCCAACATGACAGGTTGTTTTGTTTCCTATCATTTGTCTAAGCTACAGTCTAAGACAAATAATAGTTGGGCTGGTTTTTCACTTCTTGCCTGTCTCCTCATCCTCCCAATGTTGTTTATCGCAGCTAACAAGCCAGATCCGATCTTGTCCACCAACATTGGGAGGGTAAACAATTAAGACAGTAAAGTGTCCCAAAAATTTTGATGGAAACTGTAGTTAGAAGAAAAGTAGTAAATGGTGTTTAATTATTTAAGATTGTGTGTCTCTCTCTGTCTGGCATAAGCTGGTGTTAAAGTTGTTATAATTTTAGACTACAAGGTGAAGCATCATGTCTCATGCAATCACGAAAATTCAGGGATGCTCATGAATTTGGTTTCTAGGTTATTTTTAAAGCTGCTTTATACTTTATTCTTGAGTTTTCTGTACTCAGTTTCATATTTTTGCTAAAATGTAGTACAACCGAAGCAAAGGTCCTCTGTGAATGCACTAGGTTATTCAATGTTCTTCAGGATATGTGTCTAGTATATTGATTTTAAGAACATGAAAGTACAAATTTTAAACTGTAGGCTGTGAACATTTTGTCTTCCAAATTATTTTTTAACCCAAAAAAGCCATTGGACCGCTCATTGTTCACTTACAACTGTGAAGAGATCAGTCAGGCGAGTGATTGTTTTCTTTAATTAACATAAACTGTGAAAAAGATCCTATACTGAAATTTTAGCGGGCAGAAATTTCCAATCTGAAAGTACCTCAAACTCCTAAGTATACAGGCCCTGTAAAAGGAACCACTGTGGGGTATCTTAGTTATCATATAATGATCATTTTTTTTTTGGAAATTTTCCTTTGTCCTTTATTTGCCCTTTTTATGCCAGGGTAAAGTAAACTGATGGTACTGAAATACAAGACTGAGAAAAATGGGCAATTAGAAAATAAATAAAAAAAACTTGTATTAAAGTTGCTGATAGTCATTAATAACTGTATTGATTTTGTTGATTTTCCAGGCTCTTGATGGATTTATCGCTGTCATAACACAAGATGGTCAGTTATTTTATGTTTCAGAAAATGTTCGAGACTTCTTGGGGTATTCTCAGGTGGGTGACTGAAATGTACAATAACTTCTGTCTAATCAAGTCTATAGCACTGTTGCCCAGGGGCCCCACTCACATATTTTAATGACGGGGGGGTCCGAAGGATTGTTTTGGGTCTGACATTTTGGCCAAAAGGGATTTTTTGGGGTCTATGAAAGACGCCGGGATTTTTTTGGGTCGCGAAAACAACAGAGGGATTTTTTTGGGTATTGTATTTTTCATCAGCTCAAATCAAAAATAACATAAGCGCAATTTATAGTTTTGTTTTTGACCAAAACACAAGGTGAAGTTGGCATGTTTTAGCTTTCCAGAAGATAAATAATAAAATTTGCTGATGCAAAAACACTGAGGGATTTTTCTGGGTATGCTAAAAAAGGTAGGGATTTTTTGGGGTAGACAAATTCTGAAGTTGGGATTTTTTTGGGTATAAAATATGAACCTCTGTCGGACCCCCCCGTCATTAAAATATGTGAGTGGGGCCCCTGGGACTGTTGCTTTTCCTCTCAGATGCCCTTCACTGTGTCAATGTTAAAGTGAAGCGGTGTTTATGTTAAGGCTTTCCGGTCAGGTTATTCAGTCCATTTAAACTACTGGTTGTCTTTAATTGTTTTGTTCTTCTGTTTTTGGTGCTCTTGGCTATAGAATGTTTCTTTTGGTCAAAAAATCATACCTGATTATTGTATTGGAATCTCACTGGGAGTAAATTATCAGTTTGAGGCCTGGTTTTCATAGGAAAAGGCCTTGATCATTGAGAATTATTTCCCCGTCTCCCAAACATGTCATCCTTGCTTTTGTAGCAGACTAATGAAAACATGATATCAGGACATCTTGCATGGTCAGGGGAGAAATTAAGGATTAGTCAGGACGATTCTGTTTTTCCAACACTTCCAGGGTTTCTGTGACTAGCCGACACAATCACTTCCAGCATAAAATTCTATCTTAATATATTAAAAGATGTGCTCGTCATGCGAGGCACCTCAGCCCTCTAGTATAAAGAAGGGAAGGAACAAACTTTGCACTTCGCACTTAACAGCCAGGCCCCGGTTGTTCAAAGGCTGGATAGCATTATTCACTGGAACATATCCAGTGGATAGTGCAAGTATTTTCCCTAATACTTATCCACTGGTTAGAGATTTATCTGGTGGATAACGCTATCCAACGTTTGAATAACCAGGGCCAGGCTTCTAACTCATTTAGACAAATTAGAAGTCTTCTAATAGATATGGCTATTCATTAAATTTTTTAAGAGAGCACTTTTAATTTTTCGTCAGGCTGCTGTTATTCACCAGAGCATGTTTAAGTTTTTACACATTGATGATCAGGATATGGTCAAGTCCAACCTTGCATGGCCAAAACTCACAGGAAAAAATGCCAAAGCAGTAAGTTAATTAGACAGTTGAACCCTCATGTGTGGCCACCATAGAGATGCCAATCTCTGGAAATCTAAAATCTGGACACTCTCTCTTTTGCATTACCCCTCCTCCCCGAATATCAGTGACCAACTCCCCCCCGAAAAGCACAATTCGATCCAGTCTCTAATTTATCACATAGGAATCGCTAAGGACATTATGTGAAATCTTAAATGAGGTACAGACCATCACAATTTGCTTTTATGACTGTAGTGGTGAAATAATCTTTGTCAGTGATGAAATACGTGCAAAAATGCCAAGGAAACCAAACTGTGAATCAAAGAAAGTTCGAATTTTGGGAGAAAATGGGATAAATTCCAAATTGAAGCACAGAAAAGCTCATAACCCAACTTAATCCAGGAGAGTTGGCATGTGTGCCACCTGTTGTAACCAAGTACCTCCCATAGGCAACCACTAACCATATTATGAAATCTTCTCATTAGTTTTTGTAAACAATGATTTCTGCGCCTTGAATTAAATGAAGTATTAGTTTTCATGGTCTTAATTTCCACTATTTTGGCCCCAAATTCTCAATACAATTCTGACATTCGTGACACCTAAGAAAGAAGAGTATTTTATCAGGGTGGAGATCTGCCAGTAACAGTGAAACTGTGAAAAACACTCAAAGTAGCCAGATTTCATTGCTTGACCCCCTTTGTCAATTAGGGAAAGAACTGTGACATACATAGAAAGATTTAAATCACAAAAATGGAACAAAACTTTAATCCTGGATAAGCGTTGATTGACCTCTTAGATAAACCAGGCCCTGATTTTAGCTAGCCTGGGTTTCCATGAATGCTTCTAAACAGAAGGCAACCATTTATTTTTTTGTAGATTTGACTGTATAGTGTAGAAACAAGCCAACACAGACAGCTCCAGAAATATTATGAGTTACATGTAAACTCCCATAATCTCTAATATTCAGAACTAAGATAGGAACTTATTTATTTCAGAGGAATGATGATAAACGTTGTGATACATCAAGTCAAGATGGCATAAAGTCTAGTGAAATTCTTGGTAAGGATTAAACTTATGTGTCAGCTTATTTTATAGCTTGAGTTTCAGGAGACCAGCAGCATGAATTTTGTTGAATGAAGTTGATGAAAATATTTTGTTGTTGTCATTGTGCATTATCATCTAGGTTCAGATGATGGTGACAGTCTAAACCGTTCATTCACTTGCCGCATGAAGTGCACATTAAACCATGGTGGAGGGTTTTACAAGGTACGTACATGTAGTGTGGTGCTTGTTTAGGCTTTGTTTTAATATCTAATTTACCCCTTCATAAAAACTATAGAAATTTACATGTACACTTACATCAGTCACATGTAATAATTTAAAACACTCGCTGTCAGTGCTAGAGTGCTTATACTATTGTTTCTCCTCGTTCACTGTAGCTTTTCAGATTATCTGGTAGATTAAGGGAAATTCACACCCGCAAGCGAGACAGCCAAGTTGTGGAGTATGGCCTTTTTGCTATCTGCTCCCCTGCTAACAGTCCTAATACACACCATCCTGGTTCAAGCATTAAGAAAGAAGTTGCGCTAACTGCTCAGAAAAGATTAGAAAGAGCCAACAGTGACCCCATTTGCGGCAGGTATGCTGATGTTTATTGTTGATGTAATTTTCTCTGGCCTGAAAATAGTTCTTTTTTCTTAAAGGACTCATGTCTGACCAGATCACCATTTTAAGCAGAAAAGTATCATGGAAGTAATGTAATATTTTTGCAAAAGGCTTTTTTCCTATCCAAAAGATACCTGAGGATGCAAATGATACTTTGATAAGATACAGACTTACCTATAAACGGTTTGACAGTCAATAATTAAACTTAAATGCATTTTACTGTATAAGAACGTGTGACTTGCAACAAAGTTTGCAGAAACAAACAGGTTTTTTGCTGTCAATTTACAGCGAATGGTCCAAATCACTTCCGTTTTCTCTTAAAATACCTTACAAAGCTAAAGCAGATCCAACAACAAACAGGCCAAGTTTGTTTTATTGGGGTATTGGGTTCATGTGGAAGTTTAGGGACTTAAGATATTAAGTGGCTATGCCTTGCCTAAAGGGAGGCAGTAGCCACAAAAGGCGTGCTTAAGAGAGTGCACACATAGAACGTCCTTTTCTTTGACCTTTTGTGTAAAACAGTTGTGCAGATCCCTTCTTATGTATTGATTTGATAAAATTTTTCCCTAACCCTTGTGTAAAGGTGGTTTGATATTAAAAATAATATTAATTTTTGATTTCAATATTTAGGAGATCGTCCCTACCTCTCACTGGCATGCTGCATTCCATGCCAATAAACAGACCTTTTTCCGTGTCTGAAACTCGCTCTGCTGCTGTCAGTCCCCTGGCTTCGCCCACAACCTCATCAGACTCAGGACACCCGTCTCCGGATTCCAGTCAAGGTGGCAAGCTGTTACTGACCGACTCTGACATGCGAAGTGATAGAGGTGAGATTTCTCTGGCACCTTCGAGCAGCAGTAACCAAGATGTGGATGGAAGGTTGGGTTCTGACCGATTGATGTCTGGAATGAATCATCCATTTATGAATGCCCATAGAATGGATCGCAAAAGAGCTGCCAACTTCATGGAGTCACTCAGAGCTGATGACAAAGATCCAGCAAGAAAGCGCTCCCGCAGCTTGGCAGATGCCAGTGACTTGTTTTTCCGGGATGGAGCAGATCCAAGGTCTTTGTTTTTCAGGAGCAACTTGCCCCCTGTTCCTGAAATTAAAGCTGAAAATGTGAAAAAGAAAGAGGAATGCTCCCAATCTTGTGAAACAACAGCAGATAGAAGGCCAATGAACAATCATGACAACAGGTTGGATGCAGCTCAAGGCCTTGTGAATCTTGGCAATATGGCTTCTCAATTTCCAGGGCTTTGTGCATTTCCTCCAGAATTTATGTATCCTGATGTCATGTTTCCACGTGACATGCTTCACGAGCTGCAGTACCTCCGAAACCCTTTTGACATCCATAACCCTTGCTGCCTAGGAAATGATCCTTACACAGCCCTGGCTATGAGGCGATGGTTGAGTAACCCAGAGATGTTCCGTTCTCCATTGAATCCATTCTTAGCTGCTCAGTCAGCTCTTCTGACTCCAGCTGAGAGGCTTGGCTTTTTAAAGTTTCCATTTGGCTATCCTTCTCCCTTCTCTGGCCCTTCACCATTCGATCTTGGTGCTGCAGCTGCTGGCCTTAGTGAAAGGAACCTTCCTGAGTTCTCAGCGAGAAGCCTTTATCGAAATGGCCTAATCCCTGAAATGGCCAGGAATGGCGTGTCAAAAGAAGCAGATCAAAGGCATTCTCCTTTAACCGAGAAACCCTCCCAGTCACACGAAAGCAGTAGCAGTTCCACTCAAAGCAAGAGAGCAAGTCCGAATAGAGGTGTTGTGGTCAAGAAGGAGTTAGTGGTTGGTGATAACGAAGAAGATACTGATAGTGCGAAAGAGGAGCCATTGGAAGGGAGGAGAAAGTCATCAAAGGTTTGCAATGGATCCAGTGAATCTGATGATGATGAGAAAGTTGATGTGGTGGGCGGAGTAAAGCCGTCATCTGGGCTGCGACAGACATTTGCAGGTATTCAGGAAGAGTTTAACAGCCGACTGGAAAATCTTAACAAGTCATTTGTGAAATCTTTGGATCACAATGTGACTTCACCCAAAGCACAGTAAATCTGCATAAGGTATTTGTTACTTTAGATGTAATTTCAATTTTGCTCATGGGCAGATATCTGCCAAGTATATTCATGAGTGGCTATAGTCTAGTTATCAGTAAATGCCAACACCTAATCCCTTCTGAAAACCATTTTGTGATGCATTTTGGCATTTTGACACTTGCAGTTGGAACGAAGAGGTCTTTCTGAAAATGTCAAGTGTACAATGTTGTTTTCCTTGTATTTTTGTAATTTCATTAGTGATAACCTGGAATTTTTCATTTTAAACATTTAAGTAGACTATAGAAAGCACTCTGTTGGCAAAGTGAGGGCTGTTTGTTCCAAGGAGTATCTCAGCATCCTACATCGCAAGGCTTGCAAGTTAATGATTTTGCATGTTTAGTAGCCTGATTGGCGACCCGTGGGCAGCTTATTCAATCAGAAGCAGGACGTTCCATTGCATCTTGAACAACGTACTTAAGGAATACTTGAATCAGCTACTCTTGGGTCTCTGAGAATGGGTTGCTGCAAAGTGTTGTGTGGTTTAAGTGATTATTGTGTGTTGTTTAAGCTTATAACCCCTTTCATCCTGTACATGAATTCAAAAATCAATATTATTTTTCAATGTTCCTAGCTCTTTTACCCCCAGAGTGAATCTGAGTGAAAGTGGAGTGAAAGGGTTACATACTTCTCCTCACTCAGACAGCTCTCATGCGCAACGTTAAATGTTTTTGTTAACTGGGGTGATATGAGGGGGTTAAATCATAGTTTCACTCTGTGTTACCATAGACTTGAGACTAGGCGTGCATTTTTTGTTCATTTCATTAGTGATTAGGGTAGTTGGTTAGAGATGTAATCACCAATTCAGGCATTCTTTTGTCTGGGGTGGCCACACCAGGGTTATTATTAGGGCGTGGCCACATACCACATGTACTTCTTAGCTGAGGTCTCAGTTCTTGTTACATTTCATTGACAAGACTGGGCACCGAGGCATTTGTTAAAATTGCTTTGGAAAAAGCAGTGAAATGAGAGAGATTTACTTTCCTTCACATCAAAAAGTGTGTGTTCAACAGTAATCCTACTTAACAATGTATTTGTGTTTGTAAGTGATTTTCTGTGACGGGGAATGTTTTGTCTCTTCTATGTCAAATCTGGTCTACAACAGTCTGTAGAGATAGTAAAAGCAAATCATTGTCACTTCTGTCTGGCAATTCCTGTTGTTTTCTGGAGAGGAAGGTGGACAATATATTAATTATGTTCAACCAGAATTAGGTCCATTTGTGTCGGTAAGGGAATGATAAGAACAACTCCTTTTTTGTGGAAGGAAAGTAAAATTGGGATTGTATGGAAATGTTGATTGTTATAATATTTCGACAGATCACAGTCTGTCTAAAAAATAAGGAAACAGATTTCCTTAACCACTTGTACTTCTTAAATATAGGATGATCAGTGCTTGATACAGTTAAGTAACTTGCGCGTTCGTCCATGGCATGCAATAGTGCCAAAATATGCAAAACTTTGATCGTTTACTGACTCTGGTAGTTTTTACATGAACAGTTTTTAAGGGGGTAGCTTCCACTGTTTTAAGGCAATGAAGTAGAATATTAAGAATATCCAATAAATACGGTTTTCAAAATTTTCTTTGCCATGTAGACTCATAACTACAGTGGAACCCTCTTCCCTTAGTCTCTTCTGACGTGTTTTTTCTCAGAAGGCTTGGGTCATGTTGTATAGCAAGTTTGTGTTTGTTGCTATAGCGATTATGTGTTTTATTTAAGGCAATAGTTTTCTGTCATTTTCGTGTAATATGCAGCGCAGATTTCTTTGTTATTCATAGTAGCCTTAATAACGAATCAATTGTAGCTACAATTATATTAAGAAATAGTATGACACTTTGTCAAGTGTGATCATTTATGTGGGTCAATAAGAGTAGAATTATTCAGGTCCAATATTACTTGATTGTAAGATCATGGAGCGATTAGTTAGATTTTAAGCCCCGTGCTTTAAGCGTGTAGTACACATGTGAAGTGCTTTTCAGTCAAGAATTATGTGAGCAGGTTTCAGACACAAAAGACTGAGCTCCCTATGAGTCATTTCTCAGCGCCCTGTTTTGTACTTTTATTTGGTCAACGCAGGGTGGGTGCGAATAATTTAGAGCTCACCTAAAATAGTTGCGAACTAATTCTCTGAACCGTTCACAGTCCTAGATATTGCCTATTGGTTTGATAATTGTATTTTTATAAGTTATTTACCTTGCTAACTCTTTCATTCCCATAGTGAATGATAGAGTTCTAACTTTTAAGTCTGTGGACCAAATCCTGCAGTGTTTCCATTCAAACGAAACCTCTTTGTTAGTTCTTCCTCGTGGCACTATCTGTTTTTCAGCAGTTTGCAATTTTTGTCTGACTCTGACGTTGGCCACTTTTGTGAGTGAAAGAGTTAGTTTTCTACTCCTGTCGGTAAACTCCAGGTCAGGCCTATAGCAGTAACCAATCAGAACTTTATGTAGTCTCCCACGCATCCGGTTTTGTCTCGTCACCCAACGTTCTTGAGAAGTGTTGCGTGACGTGACAAAAACGACCGCGTAGGAAACTAAACTTTAGGCTAAAATGTGTATCCTGTACCAAGCGAGGGAAAATGTATGACTGTTCAGTCACAAGGTTTTTTATTGCTTGTGATTGATTCATTGAGAACAGAGCTCTGATTGGTAAATGCTTGTTTGCTGTCAATCAAGTTTTGCGGATACTACTCTAGAGTGTCGAAAAAGAAAACAGATGTGCCAATTAACCACTTAGAAAGCTTAGAAACAGTTATTAGCTAATATTTTGTTACTTGATTTAATTATCATGCGTCTGATGTTGGGGACTCAAATTATCCTCCGGTTATTTAGGCGAGGGTTTGTGTATTATTTGTTTGATTGCATCTTAGATAATCTAAAGACCTTCCTTTTGCTCATTTTCTAATTTCATCACTTTCGAAGATGTGAGATTTCCTGGTAAAAGAGGGAAAAGAGTACTTGTTCTGTTATAATCAAAGGAACGCTTGTTTAGAAAGTATTGTAATCATTTTTCAAAGGATAAAAGTTTTGTCCCAAGTCCTCGATTTTTTTTTCCAAAGTCTTGTCTTGTTTATGTTTGCGGATAAACTTTGTGTTTGTTTTTTTTTTAAGCATCTTTGCATCAAAATGCAATCAGCAAAAAGCAAATGACTTGAGCAAAAGGGAGGATCGCAATTATATTTTTTAGCATATTTAGCAAGCAGGCTGTTATATAAAGCCAGGCTGTTGTTTTTAATGAGAGATTTATACCACCTAGTGGTCAATCAGTTTTTGAAAAAAGAACATTTATAGTATAGAGTATCAATATTGAATGTAGAATACTGGCCTTGTAGTGTGTAAGATTCTTCAGTAAAATATATATACATATGCATCCTCATGTACCTTAGGGATAGAGACTGTATTGCAATATGGTGAATATAACTTTTAGTGCTGTCTGATCTGTTTTTGATGTTTTGTAAAATATCGAAAATAAGCCCCTTCCAAAGTTGGTTGTCCAAACTGGAAAGCCTCATCTTCGAGTGTAACCACTAGCGCTTATGTCTGGAAGTACCGTCATAAGAAAGCTGGTCCTTTCAACACCTTGCTGGATGGCAAACGACGCACCGGGAGTGTGGAAAGGAAGGATATTAACTTTTTGTCTGATGTAATCTCTTTGTTTTTCTTGCTCTTCTTTGTCGCTTGCCGTCCAGTAAGGTGTTTTTGTACCGATTTGTGACCGTATTAGGCAAAGCGCCCATTACACATGACAAACTTCAGACAGTTCTTTCTGAATCACTTGAGGAAACCAATACCTTAGTGAAGTGAAGCAAGCACAGCGGAATCTCGTTAATTTGGACCTGCTTTACCTTGTACCGAGGCACTTTTCGGCGGTAGTCACGGGACCTTGGGCGTTGGGGTGCGTTTCATTGACCGTATACAGAAAACAAGAATACATGGACTAAAATGGTAACATCCAGGCCTCGGTTGTTCAAACGTTGGAGAGCGCTATCCAGCGGATAAGTATTATCCACTGTATAGAGATTTATCCAGTGGACAGCGTTATCCAGCTTTTGAACAACTGGGGCCTCAGAAGTCTGGTGGACACCTTTAATAAAGGATGAATGAATTGAATGTGTAGCATTCTAAAGGGCCAAACATTTGCAGTTGAAGAGATTTGTTACAAACGTCCGCGTATTCTTATTCTGGAAAACGTTTTATAATCGAACGCACCCTTTTTGAGGAAAAAGGTCGTTTAGAGGTGGTGTCATTTTACTACACATACTAGAACCCCTTTTGTTTTTCGTTTCTTATTCAGATTTTGTAATCCCAATTTCCGAGTTCCAAAAACTCGCTTTCAAAACAAGGCTAAGTGCGAAAACTAGTGTTATTTGCATGAGAAGAAAAAAATCAATGGTTCTGCACTTAGCCTCGCTTTGAAAAAAAGGCTTGGGGCAATTGAGAAATGGCTTAGAAGCCACTTCCACACCTCCCATAATGCATCTCATTTACCCCCCTCCCCACCCCCCACAACCTCTTCCAAATTTTTCATAACCTTTGTTTTTCATATCTCCTGGGTATTACAGCCGTCCCAAGAGAAATTGAAGACAATGGTTATGCAAAATTTGGGGGGCAAATAAGGTGCATTATGGGAAATGTGGACGACCCTAAAGCATTGTGGGAGCTGTTGTAGGAAATTCCCTCGTGACGGCATTTTGAAGGGGAATGTGCCCCTGCCACCGCGTCTAAGGGCCTGGTTACATGGAGGTGGGGAACCCCAAGTAGGTGAGGTAACCCGCCTGTCCATGCATGTAATCTCTCATTTTAATTTGAACACGTTTACATGTTAGGTATTGTGACCCGCAACATGTTACCTGATCTATATGGGGTCCCCCACCTCCATGTAAACAGGCCCTAAGTTACAGTTCGCCTTTTTTTCTCTTAACCTGCGCCTTCATATGAACGAAGTTCTCGTCCTCACTCAC